GGTCACACTGAGGGCTTCCCAATTTCGCACCAGACAAATAGGTTGTGGCTGCCTGAATTTTGGGTCCTCTTCGACTGCTCCAGTCAGACTGGGAGATCACATTTCCTGGCAATGGGCCTCGCTGCACTACTCTAGACTCTCGAAATATTTCCAGAGTTCGACTAGCATTGTCAGAGAGGCCAGACTTTCGAAATACACGCCTTCCCTGCACTTACTGTAGAACCTGTGACACTAGATGAATTCCCGAAACCCTGGTAGTCATCCTACTCCACTGAAGGGCTGCACCACTGGACTACGGGACAAAGTCTGGCCGCCGGGACAGGAGGTCCACTCTCGAAAAACGAGCCGGTCGGCGGGCAACTCTCTAGGACACTTGTAAATTCGTGTTTTGCAGGTGGGCTACTCTCGATGTTTCGAGGGTGGCGATATAGAGTGCCCGCTGACAGCTCTCAATCGGGTTTCGAGAGTTCCAGATCGAGAGCAAGTGCAGCGACGTCCCAGGGCCTCGCTCCACTACTCTATACTCTCGAAATTTCGAGAGTAAGGCCTCGCTCCACTCACTCTAGATAGGTGCTCTCGAAAACGCCCTTCGAGAGCTGTCAGAAAGCACTCTCGAAGGGCACTCTCGAAGTGTCTAGAGTGCCCAGCCTGGGACGACATGCTTTTCCAGTGTCCTCCCTCGTACCACCGCTCCGACCATTTTTTTTCGAGAGTGCGCCTCGTGTCCCGACCGTCAGAACAGGGCGGCGCTGTCTTTTAGTGCAGTCAGAGAGCTCGTCTCATTCCGCCACTGCATCTCGAGCAAACCCATCTAGAGTAAGTGGAGCCAAGACTTTTTTTTCGACAGTTTTGCACGTCTGACAGCTCTAGAAGGACTCACGAAACTTTTCGTGAGTCGAGAGTAGTGGAGCGAGACCCCCACTCTCGAAAATTCGAGAGTCTAGAGTAGTGCAGCGAGGCCCAATATCTTCATCTTTGAATTTCTTTCCATTTTCCGCAGGTTGATTCCAGACAAGAAAGGGAATTCCAACCCGTGTGGCCCCACTGCCATACCAAATCCACATAATCCCCAAAATCCCGAAAATAAAGGGTCGAGGGCTAGTAGCACCAGGATGTCATTTCCCCAAACTACATATTTGTGACCCCATTTATAGGGGGCCTGATGGGCGGCGGGGGTTGGAATTGCCTTGCGGAAATGAAAAGAAATTCAAAGATGAAGATATTGTCAGCCTGCCAGGAAATGCGGTCTCACAGTGTGACTGGAGCAGTCAAAGAGGACCCAAAATCCAGGCGGCCGCAACCTTGTCTGTTGTGAAATGGGGAAGCAGTGTGACTGCAGCCACTATTTTAGCAAATCGGCCATCCCATTATTTTAAACAACCAGTACTTTTCCCATTATTTTAAACAGCCAGTACTTTTCCCAGCTATCAAGTCCGACTGTACCGGTATGTTGAGCCTTGCCGAGCCTCGAGCTACCGGAATCTGACTCTAATGGTAGCAGGAAAGTGGTCGACGGTCGTTTATAATAAACAAAAAAACAGAAAAAAAAAGCAAAAATGAAAATAAAAATTATGAACAAGATTTAAATTAAAAAACGAAAACAAAAAACGAAAACAAAGAAATGAAATGCTAAAGAGATTTATCAGTTTGAAAAAGAAAGAAAAAAGAAAAAGAAAAAGAGAGAGAGAGAGAGAGAGAGAGAGAGGGAATCCTGGCATGTTCGCTGAGAGACGGAGAGAGAATTTTCCATCGATAGGATGAGCAACACACCGGCCAATAGGTAAGTCTCCAACCCCTCGGCACCCTACTTCCATATGGATAGGATGAGCAAAATCGAATGAATCTTCCGCTAGAACATGGAAATATACACTACTACAGGCGCGCGCGCGCGCGTGTGTGTGTGTGTGTGTGTGTGTGTGTGTGTGTGTGTGTGTGTGTGTGTGTGTG